GGTTCAGATAGAATTTCTGCTGTTATTCATTCTTCTGCTGATATGTCTGGTGGTAAGAAGAAGAATGTTGATGAGATCAAGCAATATCTTGATTGTAGATACATTTCCCCGAGTGAGGCATGTTGGAGGATTTTCTCTTATTCTATACATGGTAGGAAACCGGCCGTGGAAAGACCATTTTTTCACATGGAAGGTGAGAATTCTGTTTACTACAAAGACTTTGAGTAAATTGGTAATGTTCTACTCAAACCAAGTGTTATAGAATCTATGTTTACTGCATGGTTTGAAGCGAACAAAAAATATGATGAAGCTAAGTTGTTGACATATAGTGATTTTGTGACAAAATTTGTTTACCAAAAGAAAACTAGGACTTGGAAGCCTAGAAAAAAAGGGTATACAATTGGTCGTCTCATTTGGGTTCCTCAAAGCACAGGTGAATTATTTTATTTACGATTGATGCTTACTGTTAAGAAAGGACCAACAAGTTATGAAGACATCAAAAATGTCGATGGTTCACAACATAACTCTTTTAGAGAAGCATGTTTTGCAATGGGATTTCTACAAGATGATAGAGAATTTATTGAGGCTTTAAAGGAGGCGCATCAGTGGGGTTCTGGTTTATTTCTAAGAAATTTATTTGTTACGATGTTGCTATCTTCATCAATGAATAGACCTGAGCATGTTTGGAATCAAACATGGAACTACTTAGCTGATGGTATTCTTTACGGTAAACGTGTCATAACAAGAAATCCAGGTACACCCTATATGAATTTCAATTTCTTACTTTTATTCACAAGTTAACTGTTATATTGACACTGTATTGTTTTATCTTCATTAGGATTAACACTTATCGATGAAGAATTAAAACAACTTACTCTGATTGAAATAGAAACTCAGTTACAAAATAACAATAGAAGTCTGAAAGATTTCAAGACATTGCCATATCCAAATGACTTTGTACTTTCTTTTCTTGAAAACCGTCTGATTTATGAAGAAAGGCAATATGATTCAAATGCTTAAAAAATTATTTTTGATACTTTCTTCTCATCTCTTACAGGTAAAATTACATTCGTAAACTATATATTTTTCCAAATTATTTCATGTTTAGAACTATTATATTGATAAATACAATACTTATTGTTTATAACTTATATTATTTATAGTTGATTCCCTCAATGGCATTTACTGTAGTCAATGCCTAATAAAGCTTTAAATTCTCATTTTGAAACATATTGTCACATGACGTTTTCTTACAGATGAGCAGAAACACATTTACTTTGATGTCATGGATGCCGTAGAAAGACAAAATGGTGGTGTATTTTTTTTATATATGGCTATGGTGGAACAGGTAAAACATTTATGTGGAACACTCTCGCTGCTGCTATTCGTTCTAAACATAAAATTGTATTGCCTGTGGCATCAAGTGGAATTGCAAGTTTGTTGTTACCAGGTGGAAGAACAACACATTCTAGGTTTAAGATACCTGCCCCTACTTTGCATTCATCAATTTGCAACATTGACAAAAAAGATGATCTTGCTGAGCTTTTAAAGATAACAAATCTTATTACATGGGATGAGGCTCTGATGGCTAATAGATTTTGCTTTGAGGCTCTTGATAAATCCTTGAGAGACATTATGAGTGAATTTCCACAGGCTGCAAATAAATTATTTGGAGGCAAAGTAGTTATTTTTGGTGGTGATTTTAGACAAATTCTTCCCGTTGTTCCAAGAGGTAGTAGATCTGATATTATTCATTCAACTATTAATGCTTCTTATATTTGAGATCAGTGCAAAGTCCCTAAACTTACAAAAAATATGCGCCTACAAAGTGGGACAACTTCAAATCAAATTGAAGAAGTTCGTATATTTTCTGAGTGGATTTTATCAATTGGAGATGGTACCATGGGTGAGCCTAATGATGGTTATGTTGAAATTAATATTCTTGCAGAGTTTTTAATTTCAAAATTTTCAGATCCTATTAAGGCTATTGTTGATAGTACCTATCCTGATCTCATTCATAACTACCATGACCTCAATTTTTTACAAAGTCGTGCTATCTTGGCTTCAACAATTGAAGTTGTCGATGAGATTAATCAATATATCACAGATCTTCTTCCAGGTACTATACATGTCGTGAAGTTGACTTCATTTTTTATTTGTTGAATCATTTGTCTGTTTTTTTTCTTTCTTTTAGGAGAAGAAAAGGAATACTTTAGTAGTGATTCTATTGATAGATCAACAACAACCGACTTTGATGCATTTGAGCACTTAACTGCTGAATTTCTAAATGCTCTTAAAACTTCTGGATTGCCTAATCATTCTATAAAGTTGAAAATTGGTGCCACTATTATGTTGATTAGAAACTTAGATCAATCGGAAGGTTTATACAATGGTACAAGGCTCACAGTTACAAGGTTGGCTAATCATGTTATTGAAGCTAGGATCATTTCAGAAAAGAATATAGGTAACATCATTTGTATTCCAAGAATGTCTTTGTCCCCCTCTCAATCACCATGGCCATTTAAGTTAGTGAGAAGACAATTTCCCATTATTGTTTCTTTCGCTATGACATTTCACAAATCACAAGGCCAATCGTTAGACGTAGTTGGTTTATACTTGCCAAAGGATGTATTTAGTCATGGTCAGTTGTATGTCGCAATGTCCCGAGTTAAGACAAAACAAGGTCTTAAAATTTTGATTCATGATAAAAACAACAATACCGCTGCTACTACCACTAATGTTGTATTCAAAGAAGTTTTCCACAATATTTAGAAGGTATAACAATCATATTCTTTCTTTGGTTAAGTTTCCATTACGAAAAATGATCCAATTGTTCTCTAATTATTTTTTTTTACAGGTCAACATTGTGATATCAACTCGAATAGACACATTATTTTGCAACGTCGGTTACATGACATTTTGTTGTACTACTTCTCTTTTACTATATATTATTACTTTACTCCTTTTTTTTGACAACATTACCATTTCATTTAGTTATATTAGTTGTTTCATATTCAATTTCTGTTTTTTTAATTTATATTTCTTTTACTTTAATTGCATTGTCTTACATTTACCTCTAATACACATATATTTGTCAAAATTAACTATATATTTATAAATCTATTTTACCCGTGCGGAAGCACGGGTTTTCTACTAGTTTTTCTTATAAAAGATTTTACAATTTTGTTTCAAAAAACTTTAAATAAAAAATTGGTTTATAGAATTTTAAATATTTTATTTTTTATCATAACTTTTAAGATATTAAAATTTCAAAAATTCTGAAACTATTTTTTTATAGATATATGTGCTCTTGCTAAATAATATTTGGAGAAGCCTTCTTGAAGTTAGTAAGGAGAGACCGCAATCGTCTTATATGATTAGAAGGATTTTGTTGTTGTCCTTTTTGTCATGGTCCAAGCTTTCTTTTATATTGCTTAATTTATCAATGTTCCTTAAAGGCATGAGTATTCACATCTCTCATAAAGTGACTATGCTTAACATCTGTCGCCTGCTGTAATTGTCAGATAACGTCTTATCCATTAATTTATGTAACCCCATGTAATCATGGGAACATTTTGTGATCGTTCTCGTGATCGTCCATATGGTTTCCTAGCAATCATACTGGGTGCGACCTGTTCTTCCTTCTGAGTTATCACGTGGCCGACTCCTACATGCTAGCTTTGTATCTAAGTAAACCATAACCAAATTCTAACTTGTGTATATGGTTAACTGACCTACTTGTCTCTTCATACTTGGCTTTCCACAAGCTCGGCCTCAGGAAATTTTAGGATGTACATAAGCCTCCCGATCACGAGGTCCTATTGGATTGAAGTGTTCGGACAAAATAATCTTAGAATTCTCTCTTCTCTAGAGTGGCCTCCTACTTCGCGAGTCACTGAAGTGTAAGTCATCTCAATGATGACAAATCTTTCTCTCTCCTCATCATGATGATTTTTATAGGAACTCCCACTTGTCATCATTGCTCTTATTTGATATGAATTATTGACCATTACAAACTTATTTAAAATAAAAGGAGTTTTTTTTTCACTTTGATTTTTATCAAAGTTAGTGATTTTCTTCCCAAGTGTTGGGTATAAATTTCTACCTCATCCACCGCTCGATCTTCTGCTATCTTAAGCTCTAAGTATAATTTTATTTCCCTTTTTCACTCTTTTTGTTCTTTCATTATGTCTTCAATACGAGGCTACATTCACTCGGGAGAATGTTATATTTCCCTTACTGCTAGTGATAGGAATATGATTTGGAAGCTTGCATGCGAGAGTTTGAGGATTATTTGAGTTGAATGGATTTTGATCAGATTCTTAAAGAAGTTTATGATGAAATTCCTTCACCTATTGGTAACACTGATTCAGAGTCTTAGTTCTTGGGTTTTTTGGACACTCTGATGAAAGTCATTGGAACTTTGATAAATAAAGAGGTTCTAAGCTACTACCATAGTGTCATTGACGATAGCTACACCTCGAAACTTCATTCTAATAACTCAGTCTCCTCCACCAAGAATAAGGAAAATATTATTTTAGAACCTTGTGTGATTGGTTAAAGAGGCTGTATTACTCGCCCCAAGAGAGTGTTCGATGAATACCTCTATCTCTATTTATTGGTAATTGAAGAATTTAAGATTCGTATCCTGTTTATAAATTTTAAGTCTGATCTCCTCATAACCCTAAATATAGCCCCTTTCTAAGATGGTTGAGGTTTTATCAAAGCTACAACTAAATCTTAATTATAAAAAAAAGAAAAAAAAAAGCTACAACTAAAAAAGTAATTTGAATCTAGTTTTCAATTAAAAAACAAGTTTAAGATCTTGAATAAAGAAAGTCAGAGAATGAAGTAATTTTACAGTGCAAAATCGTGAATCCCAGAACGCGAAACCGCGTGCTTTACATTTTTTCCTTCTCAATAAATAAAGGCTTAGCGAGATCTCATTTCTTCAATCTCTATCCATTATTCAATTATCACACTTTCTCTTTTCTCCAACAATGGCCGATTCAGGATCCACAAACCCAACGGCGTCAACTAACGGCGACGCAACTCCACCTTCCAAAATAGCATTGATTACCGGAATCACCGGCCAAGACGGATCATACCTAACGGAATTTCTCCTCAACAAAGGCTACGAAGTTCACGGCTTAATCCGTCGTTCTTCCAATTTCAACACGCAACGAATCGATCATATTTATGTAGATCCACACAACGCTCACAAAGCTCGAATGAAACTTCACTACGCTGATCTCTCCGACGCTTCTTCTCTCCGTCGCTGGCTTGATATAATCCTCCCCGACGAAGTTTACAATCTCGCCGCTCAATCTCATGTTGCTGTTTCTTTCGAGATCCCTGATTACACCGCTGACGTTGTTGCCACCGGTGCTCTCCGTTTACTCGAAGCCGTTCGATCTCACATCGACGCATCTGGTAGATCTCACATTCGGTACTATCAAGCCGGATCTTCTGAGATGTTTGGATCAACTCCACCGCCGCAATCGGAAACAACTCCGTTTCATCCTCGTTCACCTTACGCCGCTTCGAAAGTCGCTGCGCATTGGTACACTGTTAACTACCGTGAAGCGTATGGAATCTACGCTTGTAACGGAATTCTCTTCAATCACGAATCTCCACGACGAGGAGAGAATTTCGTGACGAGGAAGATTACTCGCGCTGTTGGTAGGATCAAGATCGGGCTTCAGAGTAAACTTTTTCTTGGAAACCTTCAAGCATCGAGAGATTGGGGATTTGCTGGTGATTATGTGGAAGCAATGTGGCTAATGCTGCAACAAGAGAAGCCTGATGATTATGTTGTTGCGACGGAAGATTCACATACGGTGGAAGAGTTTTTGCAAGTTGCTTTTGGTTATGTTGGTTTGAATTGGAAGGATCATGTTGTTATTGATAAGAGGTATTTTCGTCCTACTGAAGTTGATAATCTTAAAGGTGATGCTACTAAAGCTAAGAAAGTTCTTGGATGGAAACCTAAGGTTAGTTTTGAAGAGCTTGTTAGAATGATGGTTGATAATGATGTTGAAATGGCTAAGAAGGAGAAAGTGCTTGTTGATGCTGGTTACATTGATGCTCAACAACAACCTTGATGTTGTTTACTTCATTTTTGTAATCCACTTTTGCTTATTTTGTTTATTTCTCAAATCTCAAGTCATATAACATTATTGCTGTTATTTTCAGAGATTCGTTATTTCATAGTGAAGGAGTTTAATTTCATTTAATTAAATCTATCAGCTGTTTTACATGATACGGTATTGGAGTTGTTATTTATTTTGTATTTTGTACTTGTTTATTGTCAGATTTATTCTTGTCACATTTGAGGCAATTGTTATCATTGGGTGTGTTTAGATCTATGAAAATGGCGCTGGAATGAGTAGAGCATAAGAAATGTTACACTGCGGCGTTAGAGAGAAAGGAGAATGCTCCAACTCTCAAATTCTCAATTTTAACCGCCCGGCTCAAGTAACATGTAAATGTAAACCAATGAGATCTACCTTTAGATCAGATCTATCTTGGGGCAACCATCTCTATATTTAATTGATAAAATATTTTATCAGCACTTGCATACATATTTAATTTGTGAACAATTTAGAACAAACACAAACGATATTTATTTGTTGAAATAGCACTGTTGAGGACAATAGCAAAATGTTGAACAATTACATGATCATGTGTACGTTTTATAATGAAATTGACCCTATTCACTCTCTAACTGAGATGCCTTAAACTATAGCGCGGTCATCCCAAAATCACTAACTTAAAAAATGACAAAATGAAATGAAAAATAGCTTCACATCTGATCACTTATCGTGACCTACTTTCAATTTTTGGCATCCAATTAGCAAGCCCAAACTTTGAGTGTCGGTGATGGGATCCAAAGCTCCCTAATATAGAAGCAATGTAACATGGCCCTATTGCTCTAAAGTTGCCATGAGTTAGATCTCAATTAATGAAAAGCTTTGTTCCCTCCATCCAAAGCATGGTCCATACAAAATTACTCAATCACGTGACTGTGATGCAAAAGGTCTTCAAGCTCTCAAGCTCCACTAAAATGCAAGAACCTTCTGAAAACATGAGCAATAATCAAAACCTGTTAGTCCAACTTCTATTCTGCAGAAGGTGGACTTGTTTTTGTTACGTTTTGCAAGTTAGTTGAACTTGAGCAAATTTCTTGATTAGCCTTAGCAATTGCAAAAGGTTTGATAGATGATCGGAGGGGTTCTGGGCCCTCTGCAGCGATCCTCTTGCACAAAGCATCACAGTTACTGATAACTTCGGTCAACCTTCCTTTGAGCCTTCCAATTTCTACCTGCAATGAATGAACTGCATATGCATGTTCCAAACATAAAGTTAACTCATTTTAACAGGCAATCATAGAAGACCAGCATACATAGTATAGTGACAGCCCCACACCCCTAACTAATTATTTCTTCAGCCATACCGATGCTGAGTAAACATTGTTATAGGCATGAAAATGAACCAGCATTATATATATGATTTGGTGAGCCTTGCAAAGCAATGAAAGAGGGGATTTCTCTTTTCAATTTAGCAGATCATGCAAGCATGTGTTACAGGGTTACTATAAAATTGCAAATTGAATCCCAACATTCCAAATATTGTAAGAACTAAGAAGTGTGTCTGATTATACCTCCTGAGAGATGCTGTGAAGCAGTCTTCATAGTGGACGTTGAGTGATTATATCGCTGAAGAAGTTTGATTGCCAAAGCATCAGCAACTTCTATTTTGTTTTCTATCTCCTCCTGCAAGTCATAGCATTTGCAAATCAGAGAGGGAACACAAGTCCATTTTCCTTAAGAGGCAAAATTATCTAAACACCAATGGAAACAATATCACTCACTTAGTAAAGCAACATCAATACAATAAGAAAAATTATTGAAGGGTGTCAATCGTCACAGGATATGATTTTTGCTTTACATTAAAAAAATACATTTTTTCCAGCTTGATTATTTTGCAAAATCTAACTATCCAGGCCACTTTTTATTAAGAAATATTGAGCATGCAACTATATGGAAATGTTTTCACAAAGAAAACAGACCCTAAGTTTGTTACACTACGAGTCAGCTTACAAGTAAAAACCAAGTGTGTTCATTGTATAACTAACACTCTTGGTGGCTTAACTAGTTTGAACCAAGGAACAAAGGAGCTAAAAGACTGAGGTCCAAACCCCGGTAAAGAAAAAACAACTAATATAACAATTGCCTATCCAAAAAAATATACAGTGAGACAATTGAGAGTATTTCTAGTCTATTGATGGTGAATTAATTCAACCCTGATTGTCCAGTTAACAGAGAGGTGTTCAGGAATTGCAAATGAATGCTAAAGGGCTGTTAGGTTTGAGGGATTTTATTAATTTCATGTTTGCGATGTTAGTTATAAAAATGTTGTCATGTTTTCATTTTGTTTTAAAAAACATGTACGGGAAACATAGTATTATATTTTGGGTTTGAGCGTAAATCAACCCAAAGCATCTAACTTATAAGGTGAGTGCTGGTGATATCAGGCAGCCCAACTGATCCTAAATTCTAACACCATCTCAAAATTTGGGTTTAGCATTATTCAAACCCCACAAAACCGACTTGCAAGTTGAGGGATGCCTCCCACTCATAAACACCCTTTCAATCTGTATCACATTCAAACGTGGAATTTTCAACACAGTAAAAACAAGGTGACACTTTTGTAACTACTAATGAAAACATAACATTTTCTTCTATCAAAGAGAGCCTAAAAGTGTAAGTTTGAGTTTGGGTACAGAAGGTGTAGACACTTCAATTGAAAAAGAGTGTTGTATTATATCCGCATGGAAAAAGTTGCCTTTGGTCTGAGTAGAGAGAGTGGGTGTATTATAAGATGTGAGTCCAATATTTGTTGAATTCATTGAACTAAACAGACCTGTTTTTTGCTTATCTCTTGGACCCTTTCTTCCTGCCAATCACGGTACATTGAGAAGAGCTCAAGTAAAACCTTGGGATTCACTGTAGCTGTTTCAACCATGAAAAAGGAAGCAACTAAGTATTATCCCAAATAAAATTTTTGGTATTATATGCAGCAGATAGGATACAAAAAGAATGACCAGAATAAACATGATAAATCAGAAAGAGGATGAAGATTTAAATGTGATTGAAAAACCTGAAGCTTACAACACCAAAGTATTTCTAAAAACAACAAAGTTATATAGGAGAGGCACATATAGTAAAGGATATACCAATATGCCATTCCAGTAATCATCAACAATGGAATCTAGCATGAGTGCATGACATGGCATCATACTCAGACAGTCAGCTCTCATCTGTGAGCTATGATATCGGAATGCAGGCTAAAAGATTTAACACGAAACCGAGAAATTCCTTAAACACTTACAACTGGAAGCTAGATTATTTAGCATGTATTGATGTGACAAATAATAAATATATAAACTAGGAGAAAATAGATCCCTGTATTTTCATTTTTCTTTGGGAAACTAACCAGCTAAACAAATACCCCATTGTTAAGTAAACATGGCTTGAGCCTAGGCAATAATATCGTAATCACATCCTCATTCTAAAATGAGGAATTTAAGAATAATATAACTGGAAGTAAATACAGGGCAAAGGATATTAATCCATCCGCAACAAGCGGACAATGATTAAGACGATCAACTCTCAAGGGCTAGAAGGCTTGACAAATGTAACAAGCACACCACACACGGCACACAACATTGAAAATAAAGATCATAAACACAAGTCGTTAGAATCAAATGAAACAGTACTTGCAAAAACACAAGAATAAAACAGTTCATGTACAACGGAAGCATTTTGAAGGGTTTATTTATACTAATTTTATGGCCTTAAACCTGTACAACAATAGGCATTGTATTGGAATCTACTATGAATCTAGATAACTCATTACCCATACCCGGCGATGATGAAGGCCGCCTCACTAGAATATCAGTTAAAGTACCCTCCGTTGGAGGCGACGTCAACACCGGCGGCGTCTACAGTAAAACAATTAACCGAATCATCAAATTCGCAGTTCGAACAAGTATAATCAACAAGAAATATTATAACAAAATTAAAATAGGAAAAGAAAACATACAATTTTGAGGGATTTAAGGCGCTCTAAAATGGGATCAGAGGCTTCCAACGGTGCTGTTACGGTGGTGATTTGGTCATCCGGCGTCTAGAGTCACAATGAATTGAGAGAATTCGGTGAGTAAGGAAACGATTAGGAAAGTAAATTTGGAATCGAGAGAGTGAAAGTAAGAAATTTACCTGCGCGGTGGGGAAAGTAGACTCTGAAGCGCCCATGATTGGGGTAGAATTGAGCTAAAAATTCTTCAAGTTAACCAGAAACTATCACTAACTAACATTGCTTTGGGTGAGGATTTTGGGAATGAGCACTAAAATAATATTGCCATGGAGAATCATTTTTGTCTTAATTCATTCATATTTTTTTAAAAGAAAATACTTGTAATATTTTTATTTTATTTTATTTTGTTTTAATTATAAAGAGAAGAAAAAAAGTTATTAGAATTACTTTATTTTATTAAAGCATATATATTAGAAAATATATTCCGCATAATTGTTAGTTTACTATGTAAATCTTTAGTATGTTTATTTACCTTTTAGTATGTTAAAACGGATCAGTGACAATTATTATCGGTGGTCCAAGGTTTCTTGAAGATTTTCTCTTTTTTAAGCTATTCATCATATGGATCCTTAGATGTTTGGTCTCCAACTTTTATTTATATCCCAATCCTCCCTTATTTACTGGATGCAGAAGAGGTATGGTGCTAATAGGTTTTAATAATTATTAACCACTTGTAATCGATTTAATTATTAACTATTGCATAACAGACTCAGCCATTGATTGATCTTTTGTAATGGAAACGCGTCAATAGGTGCGGCCTCTCATATTCCGATATGGGAATGTATTCCGACAAAGAGTACATCGAGACTATATCCGGGATATGACCAATCACAAGTTTCTGATATGTAAACGGCTTATTCCGGACTATTGATCAGTGCATTTTAATGCACCTTCCTCTATGTTTAGACTTAGACATTTCTACAATTTAGTTTGTTTAATTTCCTATTTTATAATGTTTTTACAATTTATTTTATTTTAAGTTTTATTTAATTTTCGTTTGTTATTTTTCAGCATTAGCAGCTTTTAGTAAAAAATTCATAACTGGAGCTACAGGAATCGGATCGAGGCGTTCTACTAGTCGTTGGAAAGCTAAGAAAAAGATCTACAACTTTCATGTTGCACAAAGAAGCTGATTCAGATTGCTTGAGTCTCGAATAATTCGTTGAAGTTTCTGACTTGTGATAATGTAGTTTTCCTTGCGGGCCTAATTTAGGTTTCTAGCCCAGTTATTTTCTATTTAAGGTTGCTGCTGTGATGCAAAACATTAGCCCAGTTTATTTTCTTTATTTTCTTTTGTTTTATTATTTTCATGGCGAACTAATTCTAAGGGAAAATCCGTCGGGTTCGATATTTCTTTTAATCTCGTTCCAAATTATCTTATAATTTCGTTTGCTTAATTCGTTATTATAAGAAAAATTGGATTTAATTTGGTCGATCAATATTCCTTAACTCAATCGCGGATTAACTTACCTTTTTCATTAATTTGCGCAATTTTTAACCGTCTGCTTAATTCAGTAATTAGGAATAGAAGTCGTGCGGTATTGTCGACGCTTGTTTGTCAATATTGCAATCGAATAGGGATTGAACCCTTTTGAAAATATTAAATTGTAATAATCGATGATAAGTTGGGAGTCGAACCGGTGGATTTACCTGTTTTTAATCACTTATTTCAAAACCAATTATTTCTGCCTTTTTCTTTATTAATAGAATTTCTAATCAAACAACCCTCAATTCGTCTTAATTGGCTACTTTAAATAAGAATCCTTGTGAATCGACATCCGAGTTATCGTCGCTTTGCTACGTTTTTCAAACCGCTCGGTTATGATCCGCGCGCGCTCGGTTATGATCTGCGCGCGCTCGGTTATGATCCGCGCGCGACCGCAGATCAAATTGGCGCCGTTGCCGGAGATTCTGGTAATTTTAGCCAATTTTAGAATTTTAATTTTAGATTTTTGTTAGAGTTTTTTTTGTTTTTTGTTTTTTGTTTTTTGTGTTAATTTTCAGGGTTGCAGTGCATCAGTAAGCGTTTCAGCCTATCAGGTGAGTTTGAAAGCTATTGTTTCGATTTGCTCCGAATCTTTTTCAGAAAATCAGAAAAAAATCAACGAACAATACTCCTTTAGAATAAAATTCTAAAAGATTTTGACCTTGAAAATTGCAAATTCTTTATTTTTCTATTTTATTTGATTTATTTTCTATTTTCATATTTTCAAAAAAAATCCAAAATTTTTTGTAAAGATTTATTCGGATTTGATTTGATTTTTAGTTATATTTTCATAATTTTTAGATTTAATTTTATTCGGTTTTCTATTTTTCCATTCTTTTTCTTAACAGAGACATTGTTGGTATTTTTCTAATTGTTGCTGCATTGCCGAATTTGTTCTTTGTTTTATTTTCTTTGTTAATTTTTCTATTAAATTTAATATGACAAATCAAAGAACTCTTAGAGAACTTGTTGCCCATGATATGAATTATAATGCTTTATGTACGGAATATCATGTTGTTACTGTACCTTTCGAATTGAAATATGGTTTAAAACACTTGTTGCCAAGGTTTAATGGACTTGCAGGTGAGGATCCGAATAAGCATATGAATGAATTTCAAATTGTGTGCTCTACACCTTCTGAACCTTCCTTCATTAGAGGACCTTGTCAAGCAAATAGCTATAAATGACCTCCAATTCCAACAACGGACAAAATCCTTCCAACAACGGACAAAATCCTCCATCCTATCCTTGCAAACACAAATTGGACAGCTTGCCACTATAGTGAATGCCATGCAGGAAGCTCAAGAATCAAACCAACTACCGACCCAAACAGTAGTGAATCCAAAAGAGTTACTATCTGATTTAATTGATGATACTTATCCTGAGTTGGTATATGATTTTCCATCTTTATTAGATTATGATGATACTTACTCTTGTGACTCATGTACCGACACTAACATTTGCTCTGTTAGTGCTGAGATTAATGCTGCCGTGCAGGGTAATGTTTTTCATGCAGATGAAATTGTTTATACAGCTGAAACTCTTGACATCACGGCTGCCCCAACCTCATCATCCATTGAACAACCTCCCCCCTTGGAGCTTAAACCACTTCATAACAATCTGAATTATGCTTATTTAGATATGGATAAAAAGCTTCCAGTTATAATTTCTTCTAACCTTGATTTTGATGAAGATAATAAACTTTTGCAGGTTTTGAAGATACATAAGAAGGACATTGGATGGGCCTCGATGGAAGAGGGAAGAAAATCAGTGAAGCAACCCCTTAACCCTTTGATCTCTGATGTTGTGGAAAAGAATATCAAATTCACGTGCCTATTCGACACTTTTATTTATCGAAGATTCTTCTTTGATCCTGGAATAAAAGGAGAAGACACTAATAAATATTTCAAGGTCAATGGATGCTACCCAAAGCTACTGTATGAGATCCCCACTTTGGAAATGGAGACGACAAGAAATATCTCTTTGGGAAAGGATGTCTATGTGATCACTTATCCACCTTGACTCCTCGGGTGTGCTCCTTCCTTTCTCTCACTCTTATTTTATATTTTTGTTCTTTCATTGAGGACAATGTGTGCTTTAAGTGTGAGGGAGGGAACCATTTACTTTGTTTTATTTCTTTCAATTTTCTTTATTTTGTTTTGTTTTCATTTAAAAAAAGATTTATTGTTTACTTAGAAAAACACAATGCATTTTTTGAAATTTTTGGGCTGTAGATCAATTTGAGGTCAGATTGTGGAGACTTGGGAACAGTTCATAAGATCGATATCGTTTTAACACCTTGAGTCTCCCAAATATGGAAATCGATTTAGATACTTGTTATGGCTTAGTCTTGAGTTCTCGTCCTTTAATAGCTCTTAAGTAGTTTATCTAGCAGTCAGCACCATCTAGAAATCACATGCTAAGTAATTGAGCTGATGCAAATAAGTGAATGATCCCGTGCTTAATAAGAAGAAAAAAAAAAGAAGAAAAAAGAAGAGAAAAAGAAAAAGACAAAAAGTGAAAAAAAAAAAAAGAAAAGACAAAGAAAAATGTCTAATTATGAATTGTTGAGAAAAAAATATGGATCATAGTCACTAACAAGCTTAGTTACCATGTGTGTGAATAGATAAAGGGATTAATGTGATTGCACTAGAATGAAAGAGAGCAAAAAGGAGGATGAGTAAGTTAGACTTAGGCATAACGACATGATTTGGATTGGTTTGTATAGGAGGGAATCTTATGACCGCAAAATTGCGGATTTGTGTTCTTACGATATCCTTAGTATGCAAAAGTAGTACCTATCAATGCAATCTTGACCAAAGAGGAGTTCACAGCCTAGATTGAGTATTTGAATGTTTTTGTGTTTCATGAGTTTTAACAATACTTTGCTCGGAGTGCAAAGTACCGATCTTATGAAATGTTCCCAAGTCTCCACAATCTGACCTCAAATTGATCTACAGCCCAAAAATTTCAAAAAATGCATTGTGTTTTTCTAAGTAAACAATAAATATTTTTTTTTAAAAAATGAAAACAAAACAAAATAAATAAAATTGAAAGAAATAAAACAAAGTAAATGGTTCCCTCCCCCACACTTAAAGCACACATTGTCCTCAATGAAAGAACAAAAATATAAAATAAGAGTGAGAGAAAGGAAGGAGCACACCCGAGAAGTCAAGGTGGATAAGTGATCACATAGACATCCTTTTCCAAAGAGAGATTTCTTGCAGCCTCCTCTTCCAAAGTGGGGATCTCATACAGTAGCTTTGGGTAGCATCCATTGACCTTGAAATATTTATTAGTGTCTTCTCATTTTATTCCAGGATCAAAGAAGAATCTTCGATAAATAAAAGTGTCGAATAGGCACGTGAATCTGATATCCTTTTCCACAACATCAGAGATCAAAGAGTTAAAGGGTTGCTTCACTGCTTTTCTTCCCTCTTCCATCGAGGCCCATCCAATGCCCTTCTTATGTTTCTTCAAAACCTGCAAAAGTTTATTATCTTCGTTAAAATCAAGGTTAGAAGAAATTATAACTGGAAGTTTTTTATCCATATCTAAATAAGCATAATTCAGATTGTTATGAAGTGGTTTAAGCTCCAAGGGGGGAGGTTGTTCAATGGATGGTGAGGTTGGGGCAAGCGTGATGTCAAGAGTTTCAGCTGTATAAACAAC